AAGAGGGGTCTGTTTCCCCCAAGAGGAATCAGAAGATCAGAAGCGGTTTGGGGGTCCAGAACCGTCGGACATGGAGGGAGGAGGAAGGCCCAGGGGTGGGGGCCTGTTTGGCAGCTGGGTGAAGGGATTTCCCTCGCCCTGCTGGCATCCCCCCAGCCCTCAGTCTGTTAGGAGGTGGGCAGCCTGCAACCCCCACAGGCAGGTCTGGGGCTGCCAGATGCTCCAGGCAGGGGCGGGAGGGGCTCACAAAGACTCTATTTTTAAATTGGTGTTCTGGATCCTGCTTTCCTGCCAGAGGGCGGGACCTCGACCTCCTGGGAGCAGGTTGAGTTTCCCAACCTGCAAAGCCAGGGGTTAGTTGACTTCCCTTATTAGAACCTGAAATTTTCTTTTTAAGTTCTAGACCAGTGGTTCTCAACCTTCTGGCCCTTTAAATACGGTTCCTCATGTTGTGACCCAACCATAAAATTATTTTCGTTGCTACTTCATAACTGTCATGTTGCTACTGTGATGAATCGTCATGTAAATATCTGATATGCAGGATGGTCTTAGGCTACCCCTGTGAAAGGGTCGTTCGACCTCCAAAGGGGTCGCGACCCACAGGTTGAGAACCGCTGTCTTAAGGGGTGCAGACTCGGGGCCCGGAAAATAAACCCCAGGTCCCCGTGCTCTCCTCGGTCTCCTAGGCTGCCTCACACAGGGCGCAGCAGCAGCATCTTGACGAAGGTGGCGGAGGGGTCGTCTCCTGTCTGGCCCACAGCACCCACCAGGACCTCCTCGCCCTCCTCCAGGATGATGGTTGTTGGAGACGGGGTGTAAGCTGGCACGGTCCTTGCACCTGAAGGGGCTAGCGAGGCTGGGACCCTTACCCACACCGTTTTCCCAGACTTGTTTGGATGGCGGTTATCAGTAGAATGAGAGCAACCTTTGTAGAATGAGAACAGTCTTTCATGGCTTACCAAGAAGTCTGTCACTATTTACTGAGATTTGCTGTACTGAGAATTTGTCTTTCTGCTCTGTCTCTCCCTTAGAGATTAAGAGCAACAAAGAATACATTCCTCTTGACAGACCTCCTATTCAGTGTGTTGTGTATAAAAAGCATCGCGGCCGAAACCGGTTTGGCTCGGTGGATAGAGTGTCGGCCTGCGGACTAAAGGGTCCCAGGTTCGATTCCGGTCAAGGGCATGTACCTGGGTTGCAGGCACATCCCCAGTAGGAGATGTGCAGGAGGCAGCTGATCGATGTTTCTCTCTCATCCATGTTTCTAACTCTCTATCCCTCTCCCTTCCTCTCTGTAAAAAATCAATAAAATATATTAAAAAAAAAAAAAGATGAGAGATGAGAGCCATTGCAGCTGCTGCCAGGACAACTCTTTCCTCACCTTGTAAGGGTCCCCACCTGACCTGCAACCGGGGCAGCACCGAGCAGCAGCAGCTCGTCCGGGGCTGAGCCCCTGAACCTGCACTCAAGGCCCCCTTTTCTCTGATTGTCCAGAGAGCTAACGGCAGCCCCGCTTTGGCTCCCTTATTTCCCACAGTGTTCCTAGAGCCCTGGGAGCCCCACCTAGTCTCTGCTGTTGCTTGCTCTATCCTGATCCCTTCCTTTTATCACTATCTCCAGCTCCAATAAACGTTCCCTCAAAATCTCCTGAGTTCACGTTGTGAAATCTTTTCTGCACGAAGTCAAGAATCGAACACTACAGGCCAACCTGAGGCCAACCCGCTCCAGGCTGCTTCCTGTTCCCGTGCGCAGTTATGCCTGGGACACCCTCTATAAACACCGGCCAAGGCTTGGTTTTCCTTATAAAAATTGAAAGAAAGAGAGAGGGCCCACACTCACATTGGTGTTGTTGAGTCAATTCAATCTTTTTTTTTTTTTAATATTTTATTGATTTTTTACAGAGAGGAAGGGAGAGAGATAGAGAGTTAGAAACATCGATGAGAGAGAAACATCGATCAGCTGCCTCCTGCACACCTCCTACTGGGGATGTGCCCGCAACCCAGGTACATGCCCTTGACCGGAATAGAACCTGGGACCCTTCAGTCCACAGGCCGACACTCTATCCACTAAGCCACACCGGTTCTGGCGAGTCAATTCAATCTTAACACTATTCTTTTCCTTTAAATGTTTTTATTGATTTTTAGAGAGTTGGGGAGAGTGAGAAACATCAATGATGAGAGAATCATTGATCATCTGCCTCCTTTAACCCCCCTAATGGGATCTAGTCCTCAACCTGGGCATGTGCCCTGACCAAGAATCGAACTCAGCACCCTTCAGTCAGCAGGCTGACGCTCGATCCACTGAGCCAAACCAGCCAGGGCAAGGGTACTGTCTTCAATGAGAAACTGTTGTTGCCGGACGGAGAGAACATGAGCCCATTTTACATGTTTGTAGGAGCCTGGCCCGCATGGCTCAGTGGTTGAGCGTCCACCTATGAACCAGGAGGTCTCGGTTGGATTTCCAGTCAGGGCACATGCCCGGGTTTAAGGCTCAATCTCCAGTGGGAGGCATATAGGAGGCAGCCAATCAATGAATGATTCTCTCTCATCATTGATGTTTCTCCCCCTCCCCTTCTCTCTCTCTCTCTCTCCTCTCTCCATATCTGTGGGAGACTCCCTTATGACTTAACCTGACCAGAATGTCCCTGAGACGATGCTCACCTTCGCATGCCCCTTAGTGAGAAGGTCCGATGCCCCCGAAGACAAGGAGTGTGTGAGGATGGCCCCTCGCTCCCGCCCAGGGCGTGTACACCCGGTGTTAGAGCTGGAGCCTGGAGGCCTAGATGCCACCAGACAACCCGTCACAGGCTGAGTTTATCCCATCACAGGCTTGAATCTCATCTCGGACCCCAGGCCTATAAAAGGCAGCAGCCTTGGGAAGCACATCAGAGGCACCAGCGCTGACAGCCAAGCCCCACGGCAGCTCAGCGTTGGGCCAGGATCACCCAGCGTGAACGTCTGTGTCCGTGAGGAGGTGAGTCTCGGGAAGGGAAGGCAACGTTCCCGTGTGTGTGTGTGTGTGTGTGTGTGTGTGTGTGAGTGTGTGTGTGTGTGAGTGTGTGTGTGCACAGGCATGTGCATGTGGGCCGGGCTGTGAGGACAGGGTTCCCTGGGACACAGAGAGGGGGTCTCAGGCACCGGTAGGTCTGGGCTGGCTGTGGCCCTAGCTGGGCAGGAGCTGGCTGGACTGCAGGGGACCCCACCCGGGCAAGTCTGTGTGTGTGGCTGTTGTCCTGTTCGTTGTATGTTTCTAGGAACTCATTTTCATGGCACCTTGGGAAAGTGTTGGTCCCTAGCATTCGGGTTGAGGATTGGGGTGTGGGTAGAAGCTGACACATAAAGAGTGACTGTCAGCCCCAACCGGTTTGTCTCAGTGGATAGAGCCTCGGCCTGCGGACTAAAGGGTCCTGGGTTCGATTCCGGTCAAGGGCATGTACCTTGGTTGTGGGCACATCCCCAGTAGGGAGTGTGCAGGAGGCAGCTGATCGATGTTCCTCTCTCATCGATGTTTCTAACTCTCTATCCCTCTCCCTTCCTCTCTGTAAAAAATCAATAAATTAAAAAACAAAAACATTCCTTAGGTATTTAAGGCTTTTCTCCAGTGTGGACTCTCAAGTGTCTAACAAGGCTAGGTTTGCAGCTACAAGGTTTCCTACATTCACTGCACTCATAAGATCTATCCCCAGTGTGACCCCTGTGGTGTTTCATGAGCTTAGATTTTTGGCTGAAGGACTTCCCACAATCACTACCTTCCCACACCTTCCCTCCAGTGTGAACTCTCTTGTGGATAAGGAGGTGACTATTGCACCTAAAAGATTTCCCACATTCACGACACCCATATTGACTCTCTCCAGTGTGAACTCTTTGGTGTTGAGGTGAGACCTCTGACAAAAGGACTTTCCACATTCACTACTCATGCAGTTTCTCACCAGTGTGAACGCTCTGATGTTGAATGAGAGCAGTGCTCTCATGAAGAAATTCCCACAATCAGTACATAGGGCTTTTCTCTAGTGTGAATTCGTCCATGTTGAATGAGGTTAAAAATTTGTCTAACACTTTGTCACAGCCCTAGCCGGTTTGGCTCAGTGGATAGAGTGTTGGCCTGCGGACTGAAGGGTCCAGGGTTCGATTTCAATCAAGGGCACATGCCCAGGTTGTGGGCTCGATCCCCAGTAGGGAGCGTGCAGGAGGCAGCCAACCAATGATTCGTTTTCATCATTGATGTTTCTAGCTCTCTCTCCCTTCCTCTCTGAAATAAAAATATTTTTTAAAAAAAGGAACCACCTGAACTCAGTGGAAGCCTGTCTCCTTTCACCTCAGAGGCTAAGAGAATCAATATTACGGACCTCAGAAAAATCACACACTATTACTGTCATTGTCATGATCATCATCTCACTTTTACTTAAGGACTAAAATCTGAGGATCTCTGAATAAAGTCATTTCTTTATTTCATTAAACCTAGGTTAGTCTTTGAGGGATAAATTTCCCATGGGAGAAGGTGATTCTGAGGGATTTCTACAAAACTTTTAAGACCCTGGAGTGAAGAGGGCCATGGTGAACGAGACACTGTGCTTTACGAAGAGACACCCACATTTCTAACGTCTAAGAACACTGCCAATGACACAGGAAGCACAAGTCAAACAACTTGCAGTGTTTCTTAAAGCACAGCCTCTGGCCCTAACCGGTGTGGCTCAACGGATAGAGCGTCAGCCTGCGGACTGAAAGGTCCCAGGTTCGATTCCTGTCAAGGGCATGTACCTTGGTTGCAGGCAAAACCCCAGTAGGGGGTGTACAGGAGGCAGCTAATCGATGTCTCTCTCTCATCGATATTTCTAGCTCTCTATCCCTCTTCCTTCCTCTTTATAAAAAAAGAAAACAGCAGAACCTCCCCCTGGAGACCACATGGAGGCTGGTGTGGGGTTTCTGTAGATGATTTCCTGAGACAGATGTACTGTACGTCTCAGGCTCTTCTCAAACATTATTTCCTCTATTGCATATCCTGCCCCATTATGGTGACCTCCGACCAGATACTTTGACATTCTGGGGAAGTCTACCATCATTGCTGTCTCCTTGTACATTTCTTCGTCATGTTCCTCTGGAGACCTGTCCTGTGGTGCGTACACTAAAGTACCTTACAGATACACTGTTAATCATCAATAAGCAAACATATTTAAGCCACTGGATGTTTTACTTGCACGCAGTACTGTCAATTTCCCTCTGGGCAGGGATTTTGCTGAAGGTTCTGCACATCATCCCTTCAGAAGGCAGCCTGGGGCTCCAGGCAAACTGTGAGGCCTCCTGAGGGGAAGGTTAAGTCCTTTCACAGAGCCCACCGCCCAGCCACGACCCACTTTCTGATCCTCATTGTCCAAACCAGCCAAGGTGACCTCCCTTCAGCGCCCGAATGCTCAGGGCAGGCTCCCCACAGGAGCCTGTCACCTCTTCCCTCACATCCTCAGGGAGACCCCACTGACCCCCCCTGGGCTCACTTTCTCCCTGAGCTCCTCTCACAGCTGCCTGCCCCCTTGGTTGTGGGGTGTCCTTCACTACAACACCGGGTCCCAAGGGCAGGGAACTCTGTACTTCGAGTCTGGAACAGTCCAGCCCAACAGTGTCCACACCCTTGGTCCTAACAGGTCTCAGCTGTGCCCACCCTTGGCTGTGGCCCCTCCATTCAGCCCTCCCACTCACGGACCTGCCCCATGTGCTGACAGATAACACCCCCACCAACCCTGTCCTAGGCCCCAACCTCTCAGCTCCATCAACCGCACACCCCAGCAGCCCACTATTCCCTCGGGGCCCAGGGTCCCCCACCTCACTACAGGGGAAGGGCTCTGCTCTTCAGGCCCAATTTAGGGAGGTGGGCACACCAACCACAACACACCCTCTCCCCCAGTGTGGTATCATGTTGAGTCCAGGACTCTCTTTCTAGAAATGCTTCTATTGCAGAATTTCTTCGGCACTGAAGACACACAGCATCGTTTCACTAGTCCATGCACCTCCAAGACTGCCTGGGGTGGGGGGAGGCAGCTGAGGGGAGGATTTATTTTTAATAAAATCAAAATAGGAAATGACTCCCAAACATGCAAGAACAGAGACTGAACACCAGTGGGCCTCAGGGGTGGGTGTGGGGTGGCCAGAGGCAGGACTTTCCAAAGGCGAACTGATTTGGGGCCCAAAAATCAGGGGCTTCTCCCAGACACAGAAGTAGGTTCTGTTGCAGCGGGCCAGCGGGCTGGGAATGGGGAGACCAGGCTGGAGAGACTCTAGATGGAGACAGCAGAGCTCTGGAAGCTCCTCTCAGGCGGACACAGAACCCCAATCCCTCCCAGGGGCCTGCCTCGGGCTCCTCTCTGCCAGCTCCTGGGCAGGACACAGTGTGCCCAGGCAAAGGCAGGAGCGTGAGGAAAGGTGGACTGTACAGAGACACATCTCAGCGAAGCAGGGTGGATGGTCCTGTAAGGGAGGCAGGTGAGACAGAAACACAATAACTGGAGGCCTCCTACTCTAGCAGAAGTGGGGAGCCAGGGAGCAAATCTGTATAAATGAAACAAAAAGTCACGCGGTCTTTATTTCAAGGCCTTGGGCAATAACACAAAATAAGTCAATATTAGACAAAACAGTGATTTTCTGCCATTCTGCGGTCCCTTCACAGACAGTTTGGGATCCCCGCCATATCTGTTAACTCTACATGCTGGCAAATCACAACTGTGCTTGCAAATCATCCCAGGCAGTGAAGAGAACCAACAAAATTAAAGGTACAAAACCAAAAACGCCGTTACAAAAACATAAACCAGAGCAGTGCACAGCAAGCAGCGTGCAGGCTGGTGAACTGGAACCGGAAACAATCCATCGCAGCATGAGGTGAGGAGCACAGTGTCCCCGAAAGAGGTAGCATTTCTTGAGCTGAGGACGGGGGCTCTGGACGAACCCGGGGTCAGGTCAGTTCTCTGGAGAGTAAGGAATGAAGTTCCTGCCAAGAGCTCACAGTGTTCATAACTTCCTCATACACAAGGGGGAACAGAATTCCTTTTCCCTGAGCGCACAGGGGTGGTGACGGGTGCACACTGTCAGGTGAGCCAGCTGGTAGAGGAGGTCTCTTCAGCCACAAATACTCGCAGTGTCATCAATGAGGTAGGAGTCCTCGGCAAGTTAGCAAGTGCAGTGCAGCTCCCTTAGGCCTCACTTGTACCTCTGGTAAATGAGGACTCTAGCAGAGTGTATGTTCAGATAAAAGGGGTTTATATTCAGGTAAATGGGTCTGAGTCTCCTTAGTGTTGTAGGGTGAGAAAGAGGAAAGATAAAACATTCGCCAGAACCGGTTTGGCTCAGTGGATAGAGCGTCGGCCTGCGGACTCAAGGGTCCCGAGTTCGATTCCGGTCAAGGGCATGTACCTTGGTTGCGGGCACATCCCCAGTGGGGGGCGTGCAGGAGGCAGCTGGTCGGTGTTTCTCTCTCATCGATGTTTCTAACTTTCTATCACTCTCCTTTCCTCTCTGTAGAAAATCAATAAAACATATAAAAAAAAAAAAGAGTTAAAAAAAAAAAGACAAAACATTCTCTGCACATTTAAGGCTTTTCTCCAGTGTGACCTCTCAGATGTCTGAGGAGGCTAGGTTTGTAGCGAAAACATTTCCCGCACTCACTGCACTCATGAGGCTTTTCTCCAGTGTGACTTCTGTGGTGGTCCATGAGCTTGGATTTTTGGCTGAAGGCCTTCCCACACTCACTACACTCATAGGGCCTTTCTCCCGTGTGAGTTCTCTTGTGGTAAAGGAGGTGACTACTGCTCTTAAAAGATTTTCCGCATTCACTACACTCATAAGGCTTCTCACCAGTGTGATGTCTCCTGTGCAGAGTAAGTGAATTGCCATGCCTGAAGGACTTTCCACAGTCACTACACTCAAACGGCTTTTCTCCGGTGTGAACTCGGTGGTGTTGAATGAGGGTAAACTTTTGCCTAAAGGACTTCCCACAATCAGTACAATGAAAAGGTTTCTCACCGGTGTGAACTCTCTGGTGTTGGGTGAGGTGACAGCTTTGATTGAAGGACTTCCCACAATCAGTACACTCATAGGGCTTTTGTCCAGTGTGAAGTCTAAGGTGTATAGTAAAGCAGGACCTTTGATGGAAGACCTTCCCACAGTCACTACACTCATAAGAATTTTCTCTACTGTGACCTCTCTGATGATACGTGAGAGCTGAGGATTGCCTGAATGACTTTCCACAATCAGTACACACATACGGCTTTTCTCCAGTGTGAAGTCTGTAGTGTTTAACAAAGGTTAACTTTTCTCTGAAGGCCTTCCCACAATCACTGCACACGAAAGGCTTCTCCCCAGTGTGAATCCTCTTGCGTTGACTGAGGTTGGAGCTCTGACTGAAGGCCTTCCCACAATCACTATCCTCATACGTGTTTTCTCCGGCGTGAACGCTTCTATGTCGATTGAGGTTAAAGACACGTCTAAAAACTTTCCCACATTTGTTACACTCATGACTATTTTCTCCAGAACAGACCGCCTGATGTTGTACAAATTTCCGTTTGTGGCTGGCAGATTTTTCACCTTCACTCCACTGGTGATGCCTTTTTCTATTGAGAAATTCCTGTGAAATCTCACTGCCACTGTGTGGCTCTTCAGTGTCGAGAGGGTCCTGGTGCTGGAGAAGCTCTGAGATGGCTGGCAAGTCTTTCCCATCCTCCCTCCTGGATGAAGACAGCCCTGATAAGTAGAAGCTGCACCTGGTTACAAACGAGGCCCTGTCCACAGCTTCTCTCCAGGGCTTCTCTCCACTGGCTTCCCTGTGCTGCTGGTGAGGGTTTGCACTGAAACAGAAGTCTCTCACACATGCGTCACTGAAGAAGGCTTTCTGCTTAAGGTCTGCGGCTTGTGACTCAGTCAGATGCAGAATGTCTTTTAACACAGAGAAGCACCGCTTACACAGATGGGTCCTCTGGGTTGCTGGCTCTGTCTTAGGGGCCCTGACCTGCGACTCTCCTTGTTCAGATACACTCTGCTCAGAACAGGCCTCCTCATCATCCGTTTTATGCCAACAACCTGCAAAGACAGAAATGCTGAGGTGTGTTGACTGTGGTGACAGGGGAAATCCCATTGCAAGATGCACATAATACATGGGTTTCATGCAATTGTCCGAAAATAAGAGATATGCAGGAAGGATTAATAAGAGGCTTCTGTGAAGGTCTCATCCACTGAACATCACAAAACAGAAAAGACCTCACTATAAATATGACACAACACATGGCAAGCAGCTCATGGAAGAGAAGCCAGACCTCCACTAAGTCCTCTGCTAACAGCGCTCAGCAGGGCTTGTGTGCTGGTGAAGGGGGCAAGCTGTGCATGAAGTTGGTAAAGTTGAATTCCAAGTAAAATTCAATAAACCAGTACCTGGTGTCAAACACTACCGAAGCATGAATGTGCACCTCACAACACATAACAGTGTTGGTCAATGTTAAAGAATGATGCAGAGCCCGGCTGGCGTGGCTCAGTGTTTGAGTGCCTCCTAGTAACTAGGAGGTCCCGGTTTAATTCCCAGTCGGGGCACATGCCTGGGTTGCGGGCTCGATCCCCAGTAGGAGACATGCGGGAGGCAGCCGATCAATGATTCTCTTTCATCATTGATGTTTCTATCCTTCTCTCTCTTTCACTTTCTCTGTGAAATCAAGAAAAATATAAAAAAAAAAAAAAAAAAGAATAATGCAGAGGCAGCAGTGCAGAGGAACAGGTGATGCAAAAAGTCTAAAAGGTGAAGGTAGCCAGAAGCCAGGAATTCAGAGAACAAATGACAAGTCGGCAAAGTGTCAGGTAGGAAAAGGAAAGGAAGGAATGAGACGTGGCCAGTGGCACGTGCATCTAAACACTGCTGGACACCAGGATGTCCCTGGTGTGATCTGAACACAGCCCATGTGGCATACCTTCCCCCAGTGACCCCTAAGCAAGGCCCGGCCTCCTGAGATCATGTTGCATGTTCCCCCTGTGAAAAAAACAGGGTTCTCCCTGCACCTTCTACTGTACAAATACGTCAAACCTAAATATTCTGAGTATTAGTGAAGGACAACAGAGGTGAGCAGCCAGCACCGGCCCTGACCAACACAGCGTGCACAGTATTCAGGGAACAGATATTACAAACCATTGAAGGAGGGTTTCACAAGAACAGCCCATGGATCATGTAAGTAAAGACCATTGCCCCAGCTGTTTTGGCTCAAGTGTATAGAGCATCTGCCTGTGGACTGAAGGGTCCCAGGTTCGAATCTGGCCCAGGGTACATGCTCGGGTTGCATGCTCAGTCCCCCGTAGGTGTGCAAGAGGCAGCCAATCAGTGATTCTCTATCATTGATGTTTCTATCTCTCTCTCTTCCTTCCTCTCTAAAATCAATAAAAATATATTAAGGGCCGGGGGGAAGACCATAACCTGGCACAGGACGTTACAAAGAGCTCTTAGCTAGAAGAAGGGGCAGAAGTGGAAGCCATTGGGTGGACGCTGTCACTGCACCGTGAAGAGGTAGTGCGAGATGGCACCCAGGAAGCTGTCTGCAAGACTCCTGACTCCCAGGCACTTCCTGCACTTTTTGAAGCAACTTGTGTTATGCATGTTCGAGGGGTCCATTGGACGGGCTCTCCACACAGCTCACCACTGGCAGTCACAGCACAATTAACAAGAATGTGGGGGAATTAGTAGAGCCCCTCCTGTGGTCTGGCTGTGGGAGAGAGAAAGCTATGTTTTGAGAATAAAGGAAGAAAGGGCATCACCTCCCGACCCTGGGAGAATGTGAAGGTCTTACCTACAGATGAGACCAGCGCAAACACTTCCAGCATCACATCGCAGTACAGAAGTCTCTGAGCCTCATCAAGGAGCCCCCACTCCTCCCGAGAGAAGCCAACGGCCACGTCCTTGAACTTCATATGCTGTCACAATGGAGAGAGTTCATTCCATGATCAGCTTCTCTCCTAAGATTCCAAGTCTATCATACTCCCCACCCACCACATCCATCTGCTCCCTCTGCTCCCCACATTAGAGAAGACACCAGGCCTTTGTGCCATCCAAGTCCTTCTCTCCTTATATTCCTCCTGACACTGTGTCTTCCCACAACAATAGGGCAGATGGGCACAGAGATGACACCTGTGCTCTGGGACTCACATGGAGGCCACACTGCCCCTTGTCAGTAACAGTGATTCCATCACCATAGTTTAGGGAGAGATGTTGGCCACAAGGAGAGTGTGAGTGATTTGACAACGGCCTTGTCAGGCAATACTCTTGGAGTCCCCCAGGTTGTACCTCAAAGACAGCAGAACCATGGCATCACCCCTCAGCCTTTCAACCCGAATTCCAGTTTGCTGAGGCCATCCCTGTGCACCGCCTGCTGCACATAATTCTTTGAACCACAGGCCTCCCACACAGCTGCATTCCCAGAGGCACAACTTCAAAGGTAACACCCATATGGGGTGACAGGGATGGTTTTATTTCCTAATCTTCTTCTTTTCCAAAACTGTAACTCATCACCTCTGTAATGTATTTCTCTCACCTTCTCCCTTCCCGGTGCCAGTAGAGACATTCAAGCCCAGGTGACACTGTTGTAGGCTAGCTCATTCCTGTGTCATCGCTCAACAGCGACAGGCATGTGTGCACATACATGACATCTAAGCCCTGGAACTGGCACGCAGCACCACAACACCTCTCTTTTCAGGAAATTAGCCTATAATCCCCCTTATTGTATGATCCAGACACCACCAGAAATGGACTCACTCTTAGGTCAATATCAGGGCCCTGTGGCCATGAATTCTCTCCCCCTCACCAAGGGCACATGACTTTCTCCCACACCTCTCTCACACCTGCACCCCCACAGCCCCAGCCCCCACAGGCATCTCCTTGGCCTCTCACTCATTACTCCGCAGGTGTTGCCTAATTCAAACAGGATCAAGTCCTGCCCAGACACTCAGAGGCAGCCTGGAGTTCTGCTATGAAGGCCTCTCTCCATGACTCTATTTTCCTTCAACCTCAATTATTGAGAAACACAATCAGATCTCAGATTCCCAGGGCCCACCTCCCCTGGTGCTGCACTTGATGTCCCTTTAGCAGTCACAGCCAACATCTCTCCCCTTACCCGTCACCCAAGTCCCAGCCCCGATGGCCCTCTGCACCAAGCCCAGTGAGTCTCACAGATGACCACTCAAGCCTCTAAGCTGCCCCAGCTGAAGTGGCTCAGTGGATAGAGCGCTGGCCTGCGGAATGAAGGCTCCAGGTTCGATTCCAGGTAAAGGGCACATGTCCACGTTGCAGGCTAGATTCCCGGTAGGGGGCGTGCAGGAGGCAGCTAATCAATGATTCTCTTTCATCAATGATGTTTCTATGCCTCCCTCCCTCTCCCTTGCTCTCTGAAATCAATAATAATAATAATGATAACAACAACAATACACACACACACACACACACATAGTGGGGCCTTGACTTACGAGTGTCCCGACTAACGAGTTTTTTGAGATACCAGCTGTCTCTCGATCGATTTTTTGCATTGAGTTGATAGAGTAATTTGAGTTCACGAGCTCCTTAATGAGCTCGGTGTCGGAACGAATTAAACTCGTAAGTCAAGGCCCCACTGTATGTATGTATGTATATAAATAGAGAGAGAGAGTCTAAGCGAATCCATAAGACTGACTGCCACACCCCTGGCCACACCAAGGGTCACAACAAAATCCTGGTGAGTCTTTAGAGAAGTAAATATGTAGGGTCACAACAAAATCCTGGTGAGTCTTTAGAGAAGTAAATATGTATGTACCAGCCCTGCAACCCAGGTACGTGCCACTGACCAGAATCGAACCTGGTACCATTCAGTCTGCAGGCCAACACTATCCACTGAGCAAACCGGCCAGGGCCCATTCATCTTTTAAAGGCCTTGGCCAGCCCTGGATAGTTTGGCTCAGTGGATAGAGCACTGGCCTGCAGATTGAAGGGTTCTATTTCCATCAAGGGCACATGCCCCAATTGTGGGCTCCACCCCCCAGTGTGGGACATGCAGGAGGCAGATGATCAATGATTCCCTCAACATTAATGTTTCTCTCTCTCCCTCTTACTTCCTCTCTGAAATCAACAAAACAAAAATAAAAAATAAATAAAGGCCTTCGCCACTGGGAAACCATTCTCTCTCCCCAACACTCTACATGACCACTCTGTCCCTATGCTGTGTTGTGACACCCACCTCCCACAAACAGGGACCCCGGCAGTAAACCAGTCCTCAGGCTCACACTGTCCCTCTGAGCTACCACTACCATTACCATCCTGACCATGATTCCCTGTATTAATGTGATCTACGGTCCTGGCTGGTTGTGTCAGTTGGTTGAGCATCGACCCACCAATGAGAGGTCCACGTTCCAGCCCTGGTCAGGTCACAGGCCTGGGTTGTGGGCTGGACCCATAGAATGGGTTGTGCAGGCAGCAACAGATCCTTGTTTCTTGCTCATCACTGTTTGTCTGCCTCCCAATTCCTTCCTTTCTATATTTAAAGTCAATTAAAAATATACGTGTAGGTGCTGGGGAAGATGTAGCAGCCTCTTCTCAGAGCCACCCCTTTGCCTCCGGACTTCTCTGGGGCCAGCAGCCACCCGACTTGGGGCCCGAGCCACGGGCCTAGCCTACTACCATGGCTCCGTGTCAAACCAGCAGTTTGCAGGTGGCTGCGCCAAGGCGCCAGAGGCGGCGCGGGAGGACGAGGCCCGGGCGGTGGAGGAGCCGCAGCTGCTGCAGGGACCTGGCATCTGTAAGTGGTTTAACGTGCGCATGGGGTTCGGGTTCCTGGCCATGACCGCCTGCGCGGGGGTTGCACTGGACCCACCCGTGGATGTCTGTGCACCAGAGTAAACTGCACATGGAGGGCTTCCGGGGCCTGAAGGAGGGCGAGGCAGTGGCGTTCACCTTTAAGAAGTCCGCCAAGGGCCTGGAATCCATCCGAGTCACCGGCCCTGGTGGGGTGTTCTGTATGGGAGTGAGAGGCGGCCAAAAGGGAAGGACATGCAGAAGCACAGATCAAAGGGAGATGCTGCTACAA